GCTTGACTAAGTCCTCTGTAGATGATGAAGCAAGGCAGAGAAAAGGAGCATGCATGAGAATCCAGAATTCTGAGGCAGTGTCATTTGACCAGTTTGTTTATCTGAAGCCAGTTTTCCCAACAAATGTTTCTGCAGTATTTCTAAGGCCAAATGATTTAACGGAGGAATCCTACTTGCAATGTTAGATGCTGCCATCTAGTGGTTCTTGTGAAGCAATAATGTAATTTTGTAGGCACAGTTCATAGACCAGGAAGAAAGCACCTGGAGAGAGTTCTTTAAGGCATCATTTAACCTTAAGGAGAGCTGTGGATTTAAATGGGAATAGGTATTGGAATAAAGAGGTCTGTGGTTAATTAGATATTCATAAAATCGAAGGTGGCCACAGGAATTGGTGATAGGTTTTATAAGATACCTCTAAAAATCTTGGCTTCTTTAGACTCAATGTTTCAATAATACTCCACAAAAGAGACCTCTGTAGTCTGTGTTGATATGGCACCTTTCACAGATACTTAAGGCTAGTGGACCTCAGCCTAGTAAGAAATCATCGGAATCCTAGGAAGAGCTTTGAAACAACAGACACATAGGTAGGTATAGTTACAGATAGATATAGACATTTAGATAGGTATAGTTATAGGCAGATATAGATTAGATATAAAAATCTACCCTAGAGGACACACCTTCATTCTTCACCATCTCAGTCCTCACGGAATGGCCTGAGAATTTCTTTTTTGAATTCCAGAAGATGCTGATGATAAACCATTGAGAGAACATTTAGTGGAGGAAAGAGCATGGGGTTTGAACCTGGACAGAGATGAGCTTGAGTCCTGGAGGCGTGACTCTGCAATGGGACCATCAGAGTCACACACAGGGTTCACCTAAGGATTAAATGGGCCAGCATAGTCACAACCCTGGACAGGGTGTGCAGCCATGGCTGCAAACTCCCATGGACCTAGTCAGAAAACCAAATCCTGAAGCCTCTCCCAGAGCAGGGGATGGCAAAGACACTGCCTCATACTCCCCCACCTTTAGAAATCCCCACTCTTTCTTTGGGGATTCTTCCTCCTGTAGTTGTCTGCAGGATCTCTTCCCTCTTGGTCTCTCTTCCCCCTTCCTCAGGCCCTTTACTTTCTGGTTTCGGAGTTGATTAGCCTCTACCTCCTCTGCCAGCAGCCCTATTGGCTCTGCATGTTCATGGCCTGCAGAGTTGAGAGCCAGGGGAAGAGATAAACTTTTCTTACCAGGATTGATCACCTCTCATTATATCTTTGCTAACTTAAAGGGTGAGAGTGGGACAGAGAACCACTTTCTACCACAAACACAAATCGCCTGGCATGTATCTTACATAAAATATCCTTCTGCTCTCTCCTTCCTGCCTCCAGATCTTTTGCCCTTCTTTGGGTCATTTCAGCAAGAAGTACCTCTGGCTTCTCTCCCCAGAACAGGTCATGTCCAGGGCCATCAACCAAGAAATAGCCCTACAGGGAAGAAGTTATGGAACCAGCCAACAACCCAGCATCTATTTTTTGTGATCCTGTTCTCTTTTTACCCTGGTCACCTGAAAACCTAAGTTGCCCTTTAAGCCTACTTGTTGATAATGCAATATATCACACTAAAATGAAAAACAATTTTTCAATAAATCTGCAACTTCCTTTAGTATAGGACTGGAGTGGGTGTGGTGTTCACGTTGCTTGCTGTAGCCTAACATCATCTGGTTTTCCTCTTGCTTCTCTGGTCATGAGTTCTCTGTCTCCTTGGCGAATTAACCTCCATCCACAAGTCTCTTAGTGCTGAAGCTCCTCAGGTCTGCAGTTCTTGGCTCTGCTCTTCATGTTCTTGACCTTGTCCATGACCCTGATTTCAGTTGTGCTGTACCTCTAGCATAGATCTCTTCTCTGAGCTCTGTGCCTGCATAACTAAGTCTCTAGTCAACATCTAAACTGGCAGATGTCCAATTTCTTTCAAATTTAACATTCTCCAAACTAAATCTGCATCTACCTTGTATATCCCACCCACAGAAGGCCTCTACGTTGCTTAGCACATGTCAATGGCTTCCCATTGCTCTTAAGAAGACCAATGGCTTCAAAAAGGCCTCCCAAGCTCTCCACGGCCCACCCGAGCCTAACCTCTCCAGCCTCATTTTGAGCTGCTTTTATCCTCAGTCTGAACTGTAGCCAACATATTTCTTTCAGTTCCTTTAACAAATAATGCTCTCTCCCCACCCAGGACTACTGCACATGCTGTTAACTCTGCCTGGAACTCCTTAGTCTCCTAAAAATTCCCAGTCTTCCAATTTCTGCAAAGCAACTCCCTCCTCAAGACATTTTCTTGGGCTGCCTCCTTAGCCCTTTCCTTCCTGTATTGGTTTTCTACTGTTGCTTACAAAATAGCTTAAACAACAGAAATATATTGTCTTACCATTCTGAAGGTCAAGGTGTCTAAAGGGGCAGTTCCTTCTGAGGGCTGTGAGGAAGAATCTGTTCTGGGCTCTCACCTGGCTTCTGGTGGTCTGTTGGCAATCCTTGGCACCCTTTGACTTGTAAATCTGTCACCCAATCTCTACCTTCATCTTCACATGGGTCCTCCCTGGGTGGATGTCTGTGTCCAGACCTCTCCTTTTGATGAGGACACTATCATACTGGATTAAGAGCCCACTCTTGATGCCCCGGTGGAAAGAAGGGGCCATCAAAGGAAGATGTACTCTTCTCTGAAAGGAAGAGAGAACTTCCACTTTGCTTATGGTCTTGTCTAAATAGTGATGGAGTTTGAGGTCACAAAAGGCTTCCATAGCCTTGGCAGCTCATGTCAAGAGTCTTGGGTGATCACTGATGTCATACATAACAGTGTTAATTGTTAAATCAATAACAGGAGTCACTGTGCACTTACTCCCCATGTAGGGACTTCTGTCATTAATGAGTGGTACTATGAGAATTAACTGTAAAACTTGTTTTCAAACAGTTCTTTATACTTCGTGTGTCTGGGTACAAATTGTGGAAATCTTTACTTAGTATAGAGTTGGTCTTCTGTATATAAAGTTAGTTAAAAATGAATCTTTATGAAGAATGGGACAGGAGAGAGAGTAGAAGGTTGGATGGGAGTGGGTATGGGGGAAAGAATTGCTGTAATCCTAAAGCTTGTACCTATGAAATTTGTATTTGTCGGGGCCAGTGCTGTGGCTCACTTGGTTAATCCTCTGCCTGCAGTGCCGGCATCCCATATGGGTGCTGGTTCTAGTCCCAGTTGCTCCTCTTCCAATCCAGCTCTCTGTTGTGGCCTGGGAAGGCAGTGGAGGATGGCCCAAGTGGTTGGCCCCTGCACCCGCATGGGAGACCAGGAGGAAGCATCTGGCTCCTAGCTTTGGATTGGCGCAGCCCGGCTGTAGTGGCCATTTGGGGAGTGAACCAACGTAAGGAAGACCTTTCTCTCTGTCTCTCTCTCACTGTCTATAACTCTACCTGTCAAATAAATAAAGAAATTTATATTTGTTAAATAAAAGCTTTCTTAAAAAAACAAGCAGACAAACAAAGAAAAAAGAGCCCACTCTTGACTCCAGCAGATCTCGACTAACCTACCTCTGTAATTACCTTATTTCCAGATAAGGTCGCATTCGGAGGCACTGTGGGTTAGGACTTCCACATATAAATTTGGTGGTGGTCAGGGGTGGGGATTATAATTCAACCCATAAGGCAGCTCATTTTTATAGATTTATGCATCTATTTGAAAGTTGGAGTTACAGAGAGAGAGAGAGAAAGGAGAGATACAGAGAGAGAAATCTTCCATCTACTGGTTCACTCCCCAGATAGCCACCACAGCCAGGGCTGGGCCAGGCTGAAGCCAGGAGCCAGGAGCCAGGAGCTTCTTTCAGGTCTCTCACATAGGTGGAGGGACCCAAGAACTTGAGTCATTTTCCACTGTTTTCCCAGGTGCATTAGCAGAGAAAGCAGCTCATTTTCAAGGTCTGGTCCTCCAGCTAAATATTGTCACAATCCTTTCCCTGTGGATGCTGTCCTCAAAATACTGGTAATGACCCAGCAAATAATCAAGCAAGTTAAGGTGTGTCTGTTGCATGTAAATTCTAAGCTCCGAGACCAAATCCATTTTTGTTGACCATTGCATGCCTATGCTTGGCATGCAGCAGTCATGCACTAAGTACTTACTGGGTGAACAAATAAACTCTGACCCAGAGACTCTGTGTCTGGAAGTCAACAGTGATCACAACTTCAACAGTAGAGACTGAGGGAGCATCTCTGGAGACATTAAAAACGGTTCACTTCCATAAGGACTGGAATAGTTTAGCTGGGTGGTAAAGGAATGAATACCAGAAAGTAACTTCCTGGAGCCTCTTTCATCTGTAATGTTCTGGGACCCTGGTTTTTTGATAACTGAATATAGTTGGTCCCTCAATGCTTACAGAAAAGAATTCTCTTAATTTTCTGACAACTATTTAGATCAATAAGTCACTGGCATCAATGCAATAGATCCACAGAGGCTGGCGCCATGGCTCACTAGGCTAATCCTCCACCTTTGTCACCGGCACTCTGGGTTCTAGTCCCGGTTGGGGCACCGGATTCTGTCCTGGTTGCTTCTCTTCCAGGCCAGCTCTCTGCTGTGGCCCAGGAGTGCAGTGGAGGATGGCCCAAGTGCTTGGGTCCCTGCACCCGCATGGGAGACCAGGAGGAATCCTGGCTTCAGATCAGCGCAGCATGCCGGCAATAGCAGCCATTCCGGGGGTGAACCAATGGAAGGAAGACCTTTTTCTCTGTTTCTCTCTCTCTCACTGTCTAATTATGCCTGTCCAAAATAATAATAATAATAATAATAGATCCACAGAGAACCCAGAGAAGCAGAAAAGCCCTTTGCACACACAAAACCATAGCACTCCTGGAACTGCCTTTTCTGTATGCTGCTTTTGCAAAGTGTTAAGGTAGTTTGATGTCTGGCTTTTGCATTTCATCATCTCATGGCATGGGAAATGCTGAAGGCTCTAAATGTTGGACTTGTAGAAGCTGGAACCCATTGACCTGCCACAAGTGATTACCTCTGAGAGGCTCCTGAGCCAGCGAGAAGCCAGGACCAGGCACACAGCAAAGGTAAGCTGTGGCCATCACAGGAAGGGGGTTAACCAGGGGCAGGTTGCATGGGACTGGAGTGAGCTGCCTTTTCATGTACTCCCTGCACATAAGAGTTCAAAGACAAATCAAACTGTTAAGTAAGAGTCAGATCTTTTCACAGCTATTCATTCTCTCCTGTGCCTACCTCCAACTGGCAGTTGCTCTTCTCTCTTGATAAGCTCTGAGCTCTTTTGTGCTTTGTGGTGAAAACAGGGCGATGTACTAGAGAGAGAGAGAGAGGAATTTTACTTGGAAAATTATCTATTGATCTAGAAGTTTCCAAATCTGTCGAAATACCCAGCATGACTCTTCCCTTTTTTTCCTACCCTCAATTTCTATTTATTCTCAGTTTACAGAAATCTTATCTGCAAGTCTTTCCTGCTTATTTACCCCAACCTTGCTAAAATGAACCCTGGGAAAGGTCTTCTATAGATCTTTGCCCTGCTGTACTATTGTAGAGCCCCACAGAGTGGAACTCCCCTCACATGGAAATGGAAGCTGTGAAGTAGGAGTTGATTTTCAACACTTTCCACTCCGAGTTCACACTGGAGGCAGCCAGGTGCTGTTGTGCCACTGGCTGACTTGATCAAAAGTGTCCTGGTATGTCAGGTCCTTAGGCCATGCTTATAGTACTCACGTATATACAGAGAAGGGCTTCTCCCTGAGGTTCCCATTGGCTGACAGTGTCCATTGGGAAACACAAAGAGTATCGCTCAACACATCCTTTCTGTTTCCTGGCAACAGCAAGACACAAATGAAGGTGGATTCACCTCTGGCTTCCCTCAATGCCCATCTGCACTAGCCCGCTAGGGGTCCTGAGACACTGAGGAATCACAAGTACAATCACTAGAACCACAAGTACTCAACTTCAAATCCTTCCCAAGCTGCAACATTCTCTGGGGTTTAGAGTGACCTGTGGACATACACTCACAAAAATAACTTCCATTTATTCATTTTGTGGCTTGCCTTTCATTTCATGGCCAGCACAAAGGCAAGGAGAGAAAGGAAAATCACATCAAACCAGAATACATTGCGGGAGAGATAGCAGTAAGTGTCTGCTGATAGGAGAAATGATATATTGTGAAAGTGAAATGCACAAAGATATTTCCATTCAAGGGGTGAAAAACTCCACAGGAACCTGAAAAACTACATTATCTACACAGCAAACTGACACTTCATTCGCTGATAGCAAGGCAAAGGACTTGTCAGACACAAAACAGTCTGCTTTTGTCATCGCAAGATATTTATATAAATTATGATTAAGATCTCACTCTGAACCAGCAGATGGAAGATCTCTCTCCTCTTTCTCTCTCCATCTCTCCCTCTCTTGTCATAACTCTGACTTTCAAATAAATAAATAAATCTTTAAAAAGAATCTCACTCCGTTCCAAAAAGGATTTTAGGTTGTGGATTGTAGAAACAGTAACAAATTACCCCAGACTAACTAATGTACCATCTTTCATAGCAGGAACTGGAAAAGAAAATGCAAGCTCCAACGTATGCTTCTGGGAAAAGACAATATTTACATAAGATGCAAATGCTGGAAATGAACCGTAAAAGGCAAGAGGTAAATATGAGAAGAATGTCCTGTGTACTGAATTTACATCACGTAATCACTGCCTTGGCACACGAATGTAGTCAAGCATACACATCTAGTCTTTGCTTGGCATTTTACAGTCAGACATTGGAGCTGAAGATTACACCACTAAAGCTGGGAAAGGAAGAGCTTACCATTACTGACCTGCTCCGTCTTTTCTCTGCCTTCCCAAGAATGTATCTGGGCCCCAAGTCTCCCTTTTGAGAACAGGTTGCTCCTGTGACATTCCGGCTCTAGCAGGAAAATAGAACTAGATCATTTTTCTTAGTTCAATAAGTGGCATGTGGGAGAGTGATGTGGGCTTATTCTGAAAATCAGGGCCCTCTAACCGGTGCCACAGAATCATTGTCCAAGAAAGACCTTGCCATAGTCTGCTTCTGTTGTTTTTGTTTTTGGTGCCATTAACATAAAACCACAGACCGGGTGCTTTACAATGAAAGGCAAGGTATTTTTCACAGTTCTGGAGGCTGGGAAAGTCAGTGTCGAAGTGGGACCATCTGGCAAGGAGGGCCTTCTTGCCATGTCATGACAGTGTGGAAAGCATCACATAGCAAGAGTGTATTCAGGACAGTAAGAGGGCAGAAGCAAGAGACAGCAAAGGAGGCCAGACTTGCTTTGATGATGACCTAGCCTTGGTATAACAAACCCACTCCTGCCAGAATGGCCTTACTCCATTACGAGGGTGGAGTGCTCATGAATAAATACCCCAACCTCCAAAAAGAGAACCCTAATACACTATTGGTGGGAATGCAAATCAGTATAGCCAATAAGAAAACAATACAGAGATTCCTCAGAAAACTAAAGATCTACCATATGACTCAGCTATCCCACTTTTGAGAATATATCCAAAGGAAATGAAATCAGCCTATGGAAGAGATACCTGCATTCCCATGTTTATTGTAGTTCTCTTCACAGTAGCCAAGATATGCAATCAATCTAGATTTCCATCCATGGGTAAAGAAAATGTGATGTATCTACACAATGGAATATTATTGCACCATAAGAAAGAATAAAATCCTAACAGTTGCAACAGCACTGATAGAATTGGAGATCATTATACTAACTGAAATAAGGCAGACACAGAAAGACAAACACCACATATTTTCTCTTATAGGTGGAAATTAAAAGGTCTCATCTCCAAATACCATCAACATGACAACTAGGAGATAAAGTTTCAACACATGAATTTTGGTGTACACATTCAGGCCATAGAAGACCTCTTGTAACCAAACCCTTTACCATAATATCCTATAACTGAAGTATTCTAAATTCTTCCCCTTGGGAATGAGTCTACAGCCATTGTGCTCTGTGATCCCAAATGTCTCAATCTACAGAGAAGCATTTCTGCACGTGCCCTCATCTTAACTAAGCTATAGCCTTTTGAGACTGTAAGCATAGTCAAATTTCCCCTAGCAAGACGGAAAATAAAGAAAACTCCACATCTTCAAATAGGAAAATGAGAAACACCTTCTGCTTAGGGAGTGCAGGTGTCCACCAATGAGCACACAACTTGCAAGGTGGCTGATAAGTTTCTCTGTTCTGGTGAAGGTATCCTGGGGAAAACACTAACCATTTATAGCTGATCATTTCAGACCCAAATGGAGTTAAAGAAAAGTCTTCATAAGGAGGCAAGAATTAGCAATCAAAAATTGAGAGACCATAAAGCTGAGAAAATCCTTCAAAGCGTCTCAATGGATGGTGACTATGACCTTCTAACCACACTGCCAGAGAAAATACTGAACAGACGTCTAGGTGAGTCATATAATTTTTTTCAGCAAAGTTTTTTTCAAATGTTTTTAAAACTTCATCAAATGAACCACTAAAGTGTGGAAGGAGAATGAAGTGAGATGACTCGGGTCCCTGTGGATCTGACTCTGATTTGACTTCCTGGGATATAGAGGGCATGGTGTCATATAATGTTGGACATTTGGGAGGAAAAGACAGAATCTTTTTTTTTTTTTTTGACAGGCAGAGTGGAGAGTGAGAGAGAGAGACAGGCAGAGTGGAGAGTGAGAGAGAGAGACAGAGAGAAAGGTCTTCCTTTGCAGTTGGTTCACCCTCCAATGGCTGCCGCGGCCGGCGCACTGCGCTGATCCGATGGCAGGAGCCAGGTGCCAGGTGCTTTTCCTGGTCTCCCATGGGGTGCAGGGCCCAAGCACCTGGGCCATCCTCCACTGCACTCCCTGACCACAGCAGAGAGCTGGCCTGGAAGAGGGGCAACCGGGACAGAATCCGGCACCCCAACCGGGACTAGAACCCGGTGTGCCGGCGCCGCTAGGCGGAGGATTAGCCTAGTGAGCCGCGGCACCGGCCCGAAAAGACAGAATCTTAAGCCCTGTAGTTAGACATTCTTTTCTTTGTATGGGTTTAAAATGCCTTCCATGCATTATTGCTATCCTTGCCCTGACCCCTTGGAGGGGAAAAGACCAAGCAGCCTCATCTCGTGGTTAGAGAGACTGAAGCCCATGGAGTCACTTGGTGAACGGCACTCGGCAGTTGGGGGCCAGATGCAGACATTCCTCTAACCATGCACCTTCTCCCCTGAATGCCAGTCTTCTCCACCCATGCAGACCATCTGCAGCAAATCCAGCATCATGGCCCAACCAAACTTGCACCTCCTGCTGCATCCCACCATCTTGGTGGGTGAGACCCCCACTCCCCCGTCACTCAGGCCCAAGTCCTGGGACACTCTTCAGTCCTCCTCCTCCTGGACATCAGTCAGCCACGAAGTCCTGTTGACATGACCTGGCGCTGAAATCTTCCCTCTGTTTTCCATTATCAATGGCATGGCCTAGGTCAGGCCCCCAATCTGTCAATTCAGGGCTCCTGCATCCACTTCCTGACCAGGCTCCTCTTCTTAAGTCTTCTCCTCCGAAACTGATTTTCCATGTGGTCCCCAGACCAGGCACACCAGCAGCCCCTGGGAACTTGTCAGGGTCCCAGTCAGGTGGCGAGTGAGTCCCAGCATCTGGGTTTAACCACCTCTCCAAGTAGTTCCGATGTCCCTGCAGTTGAAGAAGCATTTGGCTTCAAGTCTTCCTTGATTGCACGTGGTAATCAGACGATTACCCAACCCCTAGCAGCATGGCATTGTCGGGTCTTTTACAGAATGCAGAATTTCAGAGCCCACCCCAGATTTATGGAAGCAGGACCTTCCAACAAGCACCCCAGGTATCCTCCTGACTGCTGAAGTCCTACAAATGTTGCCCCAGTCGCAGAGTAATCATAAAATGAAAATTTGACCATGTTGCTCCCTGGCTAAATGAAAAAAAAAATTCATTGGGTGTCCATCAGTCTCAGGACAAAGTCCAGGGACCCCAAGACTTTCAGGACCTAACCACCAGCAATCTGCCTTTCTAGTTTCATCCTCTGCCACCCCGGCCCCAGTCCCCTTATCCCAGCCCAGCCAAGTTGCTCCATGGCATGGGATTGTTCTGTGCTTTCCATTACATGTCCATGTCTATAACCTCTACACTACAATGTCCCACCAATGACAATCCCCATTAAGTTTGCCCTCTGTCTTCCCTCAAAGCAAACCCACAGTTGTGAAGGCACAATGTTGTTCACATCCTGTAGTTTGTTGTGCTGTGGGCCAAATCCCCACAGCAGCAGGACTGACCACTTACAGAGCTGCAGAAGTGCCACAGGTTGTGTCTCTACAGCTCTCTTTAGGTCTGAGCTTCAAAGATGCAAAATCACAGCAGAAAGAGACAGTGCCCTGCTCAGAGGAACAAAATGTTCATCAATAAATTACTTAAGTAAGAAAGAGCTGCATAATCAAAAATCTACTCGAGGTTTTCATTAACCTATACTCCCAAGTCTCAGAATGAAATGTCTCATAGATAGGCAACTTTTTTAAAGGATTTATTTATTTATTTGAAAGAGTTACTCAGAGAGAGAAAAAGAGGCAGAGAGAAAGAGAGGTCTTCCATCTGCTGGTTCACTCCCCAGTTGGCTGCATTGGCCAGAGCTGCACCAATCTGAAGCCAGGAGCCAGGAGCTTCTTCCAGGTCTCCAATGCAGGCACAGGGGCCCAAGGACTTGGGCCATCTTCTACTGCTTTCCCAGGCCATAGCAGAGAGCTGGATTGGAAGAGGAACAGCCGGGACTAGAACCAGCGCCCATATGGGATGCCAGAACTTCCAGCCAAGGCTTTAACCTGCTGTGTCTCAGTGCTGGCCCCCAGACCTGGATGGAGCTTTTCAAAAACAGGGATTCCTTAGCCCCAACTTCACCCAACTGGATGAGAATCTTGAGGGCAGGGGAAAGAGAATCCTACTTCTAAAAAATTTTATTTATTTATTTTTGTTTATTTGACAGATAGAGTTAGACAGTGAGAGAGAGAGAGACAGAGAGAAAGGTCTTCCTTCCATTGGTTCACTCCCAAGTGGCCACTATGGCCGGCGTGCTGCACTGATCCAAAGCCAGGAGCCAGGAGCCTCTTCCTGGTCTCCCATGCAGGTGCAGGGCCCAAGCACTTGGGCCATCCTCCACTGCCTTCCCGGGCCACAGCAGAGAGCTGGACTGGAAGAGGAGCAACTAGGACTAGAACCCAGCACCCATATGGGATGCCGGCACTGCAGGCAGAGGATTAACCAAGTAAGCCACAGTGCCAGCCATTATTTATTAATTCAATAGGCAGACAGACAAAAATAAGGAGACACAGAGAGATAGAGAGATAGAGAGATCCCATCTGCTGGTTCTTCCCCCAAATGACTTCAACAGCTAGAACTGAACCAAGCTCAAGGCAGGAGCAGGAAACTCAATCCAGATTTCCATGTAGGGGGCAGTGACAGGAATCAATTCCATAAGACATCACTGCTGCCTTCCAGGGTGCACAGTTTCAGGAAGCTGGGGTTAGGAACTGAACCCAAGCACTCTGATCTGGCACACTGGCATCTCAAGCAGTGTCTTAGCAATTAAACCAAATGCCTGCACTAGAATCCTAAAGAAGTTGAGTGGCTCTGAGGATTAGCCAACCTTGAATGGACTGGCTAACTCTTGAGAGCTCTTTCCACACTTCAGGTTTGAGAATCTTTTTTTTGTAACAACTTTGTGTGTGTTTTTGGGTGTAAATAGATATGATAGAATGAGCCAAGAAAAATGTAGATTTTGCCAACATGACATAGGGAGGAAATCCTAATTCTCCTCATTAGAGAGAAATCACAATGAATTAGAATTTCATGGAATGAAGTGTCTACATCAACTAATTTGCCTACTGTTGAAGCTGCTGTTGAGAAGGAAAGGAAAGCAAGTATCACAGAAAGTCTATTTGATGACAAATAGACAGCAGTACCTACTAAGTTTTCCATTCTGCTCTGTGTTTGAATTCTCGTTGTATAGCCCTGAGCATGAAAAAGTGTAGGATACTGGGATAACAACAGACAGATTAATTTGATTAAGTGCTACTCAGTGTTTTAAATGCATGATTTAACCCTTGTATCAATGCTATGGGGTAAGGATTATTGCCACCACTCCTTAACAGATAAGAGGACTAGACCCTTAGAGGTCTAATCAATGCTCAAAGCCAAAGCCAGCTAGTGAGAGGTGAGAATGCCCAGAGGATGCACACCCAGAGAGCCTGACTGCAGAGCCTACAGACCTCATGGCACTTAGCATATGCAGTAGCAATGGTTTCTTTTTACCAAATCCCAGAGAGCATCCTCATAAAAATTTTGTGTATTTCTTTATTTACTGGAGAGACCTAGAGATAGAGACACAGCGAGAGTGCTTCCATCCACTGTTTCACTCCCCCAAATGCCTGCAACAACTAGGGCTGGGCCAAGCCAAAGCCAAGGAGCTGAGAACTCTGTCCAGGTCTCCCACAGGAGTGACAGCCATCACCACTGTTTCCCAGAGTCCACACTGACAGAAAACTGGAGTTCAGAGCTAGGGGTGAGCATCAGACCCAGGCGCTTCTGTCTGGAATGCAAATGTCTCAACTGCTAGATCAAAAGTTGTCCCCAGAGAACATCCTGGATTCCCTTGCCTGTCCTCTAAAAGCAGAGGATAGCACAAGCATTTGGCTACTCAGGAGCTGGTAGTTAAGGTTCTTCTGCGCTAGTCCCCTCTTATTCAATGATAGAGTTGACCAGCCCCGAGCCCATTTTGGAAGGCGGAATGAGACTGATAGTTCTCCTGTGAGACAAAGTCAGTCTGTGTCTTCTGCTGCCCCTAAAAATGAAAACATGCTTGCTTGACACAATAAACCATGTATATAGCACACAACTTATTTGCCTACATTTAGCATGCACACAGTGAGCATTGTTCCTTTTGGGGTAGAATTCTATGAGTTTCAATGTGCAGTGCCTGCCTTCTCCAGGCTCCGTGATGTGACTTCGACAGGCAGAAAGAGCACTGGGGTTAGAGTCCAGGTCCTTCACTGAGTCCCAACAGTGTCTTCACTAAATGTAAGCCCGTGGACCTTTTCTCATTGCTGGAATAGTACCTGGCACTTAGGGACCTCTCCATAAATGTTAGCAATGTAGACAGAATTTACTAGAAAAGGAGTTAGGATAAATAGACTTTTTTTAAAACAGTTTGCAAATGGAGAGACCTCACCTTCAGTGGAGAATGAGCTCTAAAGGAGCAAAGAGAGAGGCTGTCTACAGAAAGTCCCCACCCAGGCTCTGGTCTGCAATGCCAGCTGCAGGGGCAGGAAGAACTCCGTCCTGATTGATTGCTAATAGAAACTGAGCACAGGTCAGGGTTCATCAGTCAGGTGACATGGGACTTCCCTGCAGGAGATGAAT